CTGTCCACAGAAATAGGTTGGAGCTCTGGAGTAGAGTACACCCGAGGACTCAGAGTCATTCCGGAGTGCTATATTTCTTCGACTGCTCAAACTGTATCCCTCAAAGCCAGCTGTCCACTCTTTTTTAAAAGCAAGGGTATTGAAAATTATTAGAATCTCTACAGGTATAACTTGAATACAGACCCATTAACTAGAACTTAGAAGCAGAAGTGACTATTCATAAAGGTAATAGCTGAGTTTAATAAAAAATTCAGTAATGGGGTATCCTGGTGAATTCCGTAAATTATAAAAAAGGTTTTAGAATATTTCTGTGCAACTTTGGCATGAAAAATCAAATAATTGCTATTTGTTATCTCATAAAATTATGGTTCAAGCTCACCTGTTCGAGCTTACTCTAACTTGATTAAGAAATAATCAATAGGGGTTGGAGGTGTAGCTCAGCGATGGAGTGCATGCTTAGCATGTGTGAGGCCCTAGGTTCAGTCCTCAGGCTCTCTCTCACACACATACACACACACACATATTTCAGGTTATCATCAACTTGGGATTCATCCTTAGGAAAAAGGCTATTAGTGCACGTCCATCTGCATGGAATATAAGCAAATTCCAATACACAGTTAAACTTCAGGAGTGAGAAGGTAACGGCATACCATGAGGCACCAATGTGGAATGACCTATCTGGGGGACGCTCCAAGGACTCCACTCCTGTCGGCCATCTCCTCGAGCGCAGACTCTGAACTGGTAATCAACATTGGGGTCTATGTGCAGTACTATGAATTCAGTTTCAGATCCTACGTATACATCTTCAAAATGATTTGAAGTGCATTTACGGAACTGAAGCCTGTAATCTTGGGCTGTAAAGTCATCATCCACCTAAGGAGAAAGGCCTTATGTTAGATTAACATCAGAAAATGAATGGAGATAAAAAGAGAAACAATGGGGGTATTCTAGACCAGCAACATAGAAACATGTGCTGAATAGGTCCCATTCTGTGGAAGATCTAAGTAAACACACTGTGGCTCTATTTCTTTTTTTTTTTCCTTCCCTCCCTTCCTCCCTCCCTCCCTCTCCTCTCTCTTTCTTTCTTTCCTTCCCTTTCTTTCTGTACCAGGGATCAACTCAAGACTGTGCTGGCGAGGCAGGCAGCGGTACCACTGAGCTAAATCGCTGGCCCTCCTTTCTTTTTTTTTAATTAGACCATATGCTCAATACCTCCCAATCGGCTATTAAAAAAAGAATTGTTGCCTTTGAAGAAACAGCATAGTTTTCTGAACAAGAATGTCAAAGATAAAATATTTGAAATTTAAGAGTAATTATCCCACTACTAATACAGCATGTGCATAACCAAGAATTAAAAGCTAGAATATATAAAAAACTCCTAAAATTTGATAGGGTAAAAGCCACCCAGTAGAAAAATGAAAAAAGTTAAGAATAAAACAGACTAAGAAGTGGCCAGGGATTTAGCTCAGTGGCACTGTACCTGCCTCACAAGTGCAAGGTACTGAGTTTGATACAAAAAAGAAGAAAGGCTAAGGGCTTGGGATTTGACTCAGTGATAGTACACACACACACACCCCTGAAAAAGCAAAACAAAACTAAGCTAAAAAATCACTTCAAAACTGAATTTCAATTGGGTGTGACAGTGCCCATCACTCTGGGAGACTGAGGCGGGAGGATCACAAATTTAATCCCAGCCTGGGAAATTTAGCAAAGCCCTGCCTCCAAATAAAAAAAGGGCAGGGGATGTAGCTCAGTGTGAAGACCCTGAGTTTAATCCCCAGTCCCTAAACAAACAAACAAATAAATAAATGTTCTTTTCAAACTAGAAGAGCAACTTCAGTTCATGTTCTCTATGACTTTATTTTCATTGTAAAGCAAGAGATTTTTGCTTGGGAAGACAAGAAAGTATTGAAAATCTCAAACCCACAGTCATAGGCACTTGCGCAACTCTAAACTACATACCTTACACCATCGCACAATGATGCCCCCAGGCTTCTCTATCAGCTCTTCTATCTGTACTGGTGGACGGGATGCTACAGTTCCGTGCTTAAAAATGTGGTCTTTCACTATGTTCAGAACAGAATCATCCAACTGAGCAGATAAACAAGGCACATCAACCAGCAAAGGCACTTCTGGTAAGCTGAGGAAACAAAGCTCAGTGTTTACGAGATCTCATTAACAGAGGTAAAAGTACAAGGAATAATTAGGTCACAACATGCTGGAAGGATCCTGAGGTCTCCAGTAAATAATTTTCATGGCTATGGAAGATTTTATTATACTGAGAGGTTTTAGTTTTGGTTTTTTGAGACAGGGTCTCACTATGTAGTTGAGACTGACCTGGAACTCATTATGTAGCTCAGGCTGGTCTCGAACTCACAGCGATCCTCCTGCCTCAGCCTCCCGAGTGCTGGGATTACAGGTGTGAGCCACCATGCCCGGCTATAGTGAGAGGGTTGTTTTGTTTTGTTTTGTTTTGGTACCTGATTGAACTCAGGTCCTTGCACTTGCAAGGCAGGCCACCAAACCACTGAGCTAAATCCCCTGTCCCTATAGTGAGAGGTTTTAATCTTTTATGTTCCATGAAGAGCCTCTTCACAAATAAATATAAGCAAGACAGAAATCTGGAAGGATTACAACTGTCAGGTTAATACCAAAAGATCTAGTTTACTGAAATATGACTCAATTTCAGTAATATATTCGAGTTTTTCTCTTGTATAAAGACCACGTTAATTTAGGTATTATTCAAATTTTATTTTACATATAGCTATAGTATTTTTTTAATTTTTCTTTTTTAAAGACAGGGTCTTGCTATGTTGTTCAGGCTGGCCTTGAACTCATTATGTTTGTTTGTTTTGGTACCCAGGATCGGGGCTCGAACTCAGGACCTTGCGCTTTTGAGGCAGGTGGTGGCACCACTGAGCTAAATCCCCAGCCTTGAACTCACAGCAATCTTCCTGCCTCAGCCTCCCAAGTGCTGGGATTACAGGCATCTGCCACTATGCTGGGTTCATCATTCCAATTTTAGCATATGTGCTGCTGAAACAGAGTCCCAGAATTTAAAAAATTTTAATAACTGTCTTATATATTGGAACCGAAAAAGATCTGCAGTAATACTATGTCAAAAACTATAATCAGCCGGGCGTGGTGGCGCACACCTGTAATCCCAGCACTAGGGAGGCTGAGGCAGGAGGATCGCTGTGAGTTTGAGACCAGACTGGGCTACATAGTGAGTTCCAGGTCAGTCTCTACATAGTGAGGCCCTGTCTCAAAAAAACAAAAAAACTATAATCACATTTATTTTATGCTAGTGGTAATAATGGGTGATCAAACTTTGAAAAATATATTTCTACCTACTTTAATCAGAGTCTTTTATAGGGGGAAAAGAGAAGACATAGTTTAAATGGTTAAGTCCAAAAGTCACAAACTCTTTTACCTGTCCAACTGAATGTGTGAGGCCTTTTTGGTAAAGCTCCACAGTTTCTCATTCTGTTCCTCTATACCTCCAAGAATGGCAATCTCACCTACAGCAAAATCAAGAGAACTAGTACAGTGAAAAAGGGCCACATCCGAAAAGTAAGCAACATGACTTATGCCCATGTGGGTATCCAGTTTTCTTGAAAACAATATCTACAAGATGCCACAGTCAAATTCCAAAGATAAAAGTAGAACTGACTATGATAAGAAGTGACTATGATAGAAGTGACTATGATAAGACCAAATGGAGAAGTGGGACACAGTGGCAACACCGTGCCAGAGCTTAAGATGCTGCTCTAGACGAGCAAATCTGCTCTGACAACAACTCCACACAAAGCAGAAGCCCAGGGACTTGTCCTACAGAATCTTTACCAACGTGAACAGGAACAGAATATTACCCTGACAGGAGCTATGGGGTATGGGATTTTTTTTGTTTTGTTTTGTTTTGTTTTATGGTACTGGAGATTGAGCCCAGGGCCTTCATACTGACTACAGGCCCAACCCTTTTTATTTTATTTCATTTCATTATTTTAGTTTTTAAACCTTTCTGTTTTATAGTACTGAAAATTGAACTCAGAGTCTTCACACAGCTATATCCCCAGTCATTATTCTTTTCTTAAGACAGGGTCTCACTATGTAGTTGAGACTGACCTGGAACTCACTATGTAGCCCAGGCTGGCCTCAAATTCAAAGCAATCCTCCTATCCTCCTGCCTCAGCCTCTTGAGTCCTGGGATTACAGGCAAGTATCACCATGTTTGGCTTACTTTTCATTTTTTAGATAGGGTATTGCCAAGTCCTTATTTTGAGACAAGGTCTCAATAAGTTGCCCAGGCTGGCCTTAAACAAACCATCTTCCTGCCTCAGCCTTCTGAATAGCCATGATATACACATGTGCCACCATGCCCAGGAAGGTATATGGTCTTTAAAAAACAGATGATCCCAGGTCTGGTGGCACACACTTAGAATCCTAGCATTCTAGGAGGCTAAGGCAGCCTGGGCAACTTAGTAACATACAAAGATCCTATCTTAAACAAAAAAAAAAAAAAAAAAAAAAAAAAAAAAAAAAAACAAAATTAAAAAAAAAAAAAAAAAAAAAAAAGAAAAAGAAAAAGAAAACTAAAAGACAAAGGAATGAAGAGGTAGTTCAATGTGAAGGACCTGGGTTCAATTCCAAAAAAAAAAAACCCAAACAAACAAAACAAAAACAACAAAAAAGCCAAGTGATGCAGTCAGATTTTCCTAAAAGAACATCATACATTAGGTCAGAAATTACACAATAGAATAAAAAGTAAATGCTACACAGAGAGTATGAATAATCCTCCACAGCACTTAAGGACACAGCCTTCAGAATGTGCCCTGGAGTTACTCTAATTGCTGAGACCATATGACTGTCTTCACCAACACAAAAACTGAAACACGCTGCAGATTGCCTCAAAATGCCATAAATAATTTTTTATCTCTTGGGAGAAAAAGAGAAGAGTTTGAGATTTTAAAAATTTCTGAAATATGAAAAACGTTTAATTATCAAATGCTGTAAGAAACATGGGATATACCTCAAAGGATTTATTTTCTATGATGAAAACACTTCTCAGTCCTGAGTAATAGGTGTGAACTCATGGCCTGTGCTGACCTGCCTCTGGGTTTGTTTCCAAATGCAAACCTCCAGGGAAAGACATTCTATGTCCTGCCAAAAACTTTTCTCAAAGGCAGTTATGGTCAGTGGGAAAAACAACAAAAAAAAAACTCCTCAGTGAAGATAAAAACTGTAATTAGATACAGATAGCAGTAGCAACACATTCTAAATGGCCCCCAAAGGGTGCGAGTTCTAGCTGGAACAGCAGGTAATGTGAGCCACAGCACAATCATCCTAAGCCACTCACTTCACTCAGAAGAATAAACGGAGTCAGGGGCTGGAGAATGGTAGCTCAGTGGCACTGGGCCCGCCTGGCAAGCGCAAGGTTCTGAGTTTGATCCTCAATTCCGCAAAAAAAAAAAAAAAAAATTCAGTCTCTTTCCTTCCCTGGCTCCTTTTTTCCCAATTGCTCTCTAAATACTGACATCACTTAGTGTCCTACCCTAAGCCACTCACTCTTCCCCTATTATACATTATATCTTAATGATTTTACTTATTCCCATGGATTCAGATCTGATGTATGTGCCATTAACTGCAAATCTGACATCTCCAACTATGATCTCTTTCCTAAGCATCAGGCCCACATTTCCATGTTAGGCACCTCAAAATAACCCTAAATCATGGGCCTACATACCTGCTCCATTCATTATTCACCTAGTCATCAAAAATTTCCAGTAGTCAAGAATCACTGAGCAACTAAAAAAAATTAAAACAAAATAAAACAAAAACACACAGCTGGGCATGATAGGGCTGGCCTATAATCTCAGCACTTGGGAGGCTGAGGCAGGAGGACTTAGTCAATTTGAAGCCAGCCTGGGCTACATAGTGAGTTCAAGGCCAGTCTGAACTACACAGTGAGACCTTGTCTCAAAAAAACAAAACAAGGCCTGGGGATTTAGCTCAGTGTCACTGTGCCTGCCTTGCAAGTAAGTGCAAGGTTCTGATTTTGATCCCCAGTAAAAAAACAAAGCAAAACAAAAAAAACCACGAATCACTGATCGGTAAATTCATCGATAATTCTACTTCCAGATCTGGACATGATGGCGCACGCCTATATTGTTAGTATTCAGGAGGGTGAGACAGGAGGAGCACTGTAAATTTGAGGCCAGCATAGGCTACAGTGGGAGTTCAAGGCCAGCCTGAACTACATAGGGAGACCCTGTCTCACAAAATAACACCCTGGCCACAGCAAATCTATCTCCAAAAATCTCTTAAAACCACCCAGTCTCATTTTCACTTGCCACTGTCTTTACCATTTCACACCTGACTCACTTCCACACCATTTAATCAATCTCTTTTCCTCCAAAACTTACAATTTCTTTTTTTGGTTTCTTTCTTTGTTATTGCTGTTGTTTTGTTTTGAAGACAAGAGTCTTGCTGTTGTAGTTCAGGCTGGCCTTGAACTCACTATGTTGCCTAGGCCTGCCTGCACCTCACAGGTCATTGCCTGCCTCAGCCTCCTCGGTGCTGGAATTGTAGGTGTGTGCTACCACACCCAGGTGAATTTAAAACTTCTAATTTAGTCTCTAAACTGTAGACAGGGCCATTTTGATACAATGTAAACCAATCATATAACTCTACTGCTCAAAATACTTCAGTGCATTCTTCAATATGACAGTGTACTCCACTCCTGACGTTACTTGTGCTTAGAATCAGTTACCTCCCTCTTTTTCCTTGTCTGGTTGATGAATTTCCTCAAGTCTTTGTGGAACTACTCCTACAGAAAGCTACCCTATACTTTTTCCCAAAAGACTAAGCACTTCTCCCTCTGTGTTTCAATAAGTTTCAGATATATCACTAGGTATGTATACACACCTTAGAGGGCTATGAACCCCAAAAAACAGAACTATTACTTTTTTTTTCCCCTGAGAAACTGGGGATTGAACCCAGGGCCTCACACATGCTAGGCAAGCACTCTACCACTGAGCCTACCTTTTCTTGGATATGACTAACCACCCAAAAAGTTGGCTAAAGACAGGAATATGACAATTAAAATTCAATCGTATTTTTAACAGGGACAACAGAACCATAAATATTGAAAAATATTTGAACAAGCTCAAAATGATCTGGAAATTGTGTTAATAACGAATTAGATGCCATTCTAATAGAAGCATTTGAGACAAATTATTTGCCTCTTCTTATTTTGTAAGTAATTCTAGTATTTCAACTATATTTACCTTGAGAGGCCCCACAATATAACTGCCATCCTAGATTATAAACTGTCTAAAGCCGAGTGTGGTGGGACACTCCTGTAATCCCACCACTCGGGAGGCTGAGGCAGCAGGGTCACTGTGAGTTTGAGACCAGCCTAGGCTACATAGTGAGTTCCAGGTCAGTCTCAACTACACAGTGAGATCCTGTCTCAAAAAAACAAAAAAACAAACAAAAAAAAAACCTGTCTAATGGAAGGAACATCCCAGGGGCTCAGGATTTGGCTTATGGAGCTGCACCTGACTGGCAAGCGCAAGGTCCTGAATTCAATTCCTGATACCTAAAAAAAAAAAAGGAAGGAACATCCCAAGTATCCCAGAGATAGCAAGAAATCAGCCAAATGTCAGTCCGAAAGACAAAGCTCCCTGGGCTCCCACCTTCTCGGACTAAGTCCTCTGCAGTGTTCACTCCGTGCTCTATGAGCTTCTGGCAGTCGTCTAGTGGTTTCATGGTTTCCTGCTCAATGGCGTCTACCTCTTGCAACAGAGTCACCAGCCGCTCATCCAGGAGCTTCCCAAGGGTCTCTTTTAAATCACTAAAATGCTGTTTGAGGACATTCCTTGTCTGTGATGCACTCTCTTTAATCTGAAAAGAAATAAAAATTCAAAATCAGAATCTCTGGAAAAAATTAAATCACAGGCATCATTCAGAACTATCTACAGGTACCACACAACTATCATTCTCCATTCTTTAAAAATTAAAAATAAAATGTAAGGGCCAGGTGTGATGTGGTGGCAAATGCCTGTAGCACTCTGCGAGGCTAAGGTAGGAGGATTTCAAGTTAGAGCCCAACCTGAGCAACTTAGGATGACTGAAAAAAAAAGAGGGGACAGAGATTACAGCTCAAAGAGAAGGCTCTGGTTCAATCCCCAGTATCTTTTTTTTTAAAAAGTTATATAGGGCTGGGGATTTAGCTCAGCGGTTTGGTGGCCTGCCTTGCAAGAGCAAAGACCTGAGTTCAATCCCCAGTACCCCCACAAAAAGTTATATAATCATATATAATTCATATAATATATAAAGTATATAGTAATATATAATATATTACATAATGTATGTTATAATATATAATATAAAGTATATATGATATATATTAAGCTAATTAATGTATCCATCTCCACACAGTTGCTTTTTTTGTGTGGGGGAAAAAAACCTTAAGATTTATTAGTAATTTTGAAATATTCAAGTACATTCTCATTTACAAATATACAAGTACAGTACATTACCATTAACTATAGACACCATCCTATATATTACATCTCTAGAATTCATTCATCATAGGAAACCAAAACTTTGTACCCTTTTACCAATGTCTCTCTATCACTCCCCATCCCACCCCTGGTAACTGTCTACTTCTAGGCTATGCTTCTGTGAATTTAACTTTTTGAAAATGTACATATAAGTTAGATCTTATAGCACTTTTCAGGGTCTGACTTATTTTCATGCTCTTGTGAATGCCAAGAATTCCTTTTTTTTTTTTTTTGGTACTGGGGATCAAACTCAAGACCTTGCACTTGTGAGGCAGAAGGCAGGCAGCAGCACCACTGAGCTAAATCCCCGGCCCAAATCCTTATTTTTTAAGACAGAATATTCCACTGTGTGTATATATATATATATATATATATACACACACACACACACACACACACACACACACACACACATACATCTTCCATAGGTGAATAAACCAAATGTGACTAATGCATAGATAGAAACTTGCAGAATTGCAAACTGACTTTCACATCAGAAAAGGCACAAATCCTGATTCCAACATTCACAAACTATGCCAATTTGGTCAAGTTAATTAAGTTTCCTATGCCTCAAATTTCCTATTTGTCAAAATAGTGTTATAGTGCTAATTTCATGGAGTTGCTGTGAAGATTAAGGGAAATAATCTGCTGCATTTGGTAAAAATAATTGGCACTGTTATTCTCAATAAATAATTGGTAGAAATTACTATTTGCACAATGTAGATCTTGGCAGTAGCGTGTTTTAGTACAAAAAATTAAATACTGGGGATTAAAATTCATTTTACTGCAAAGAAGCAAAGGAACAGTACACAATATAGCTAGCTGGGCATGATAGTGCACGCCTGTCATCCCAGCACTCTGGGAGCCTGCAGCAGGAGGATCCAAGTCTGAGCTCAGCCTGGGCAACTTAATGAATTAATGAGATCCTATCTCCAAATAAAAACACTAAGAAGACTAGGGGTGTATCTCAGTGCAAAGGTCCTGAGTTCAAACCCTACTATCAGGAAAAAAAAAAAAAAAAAAAAAGAGGGACACTAGTTTGGCTCACCAGTACAGCTGTTCATCCAGCGACAAATGCAAAGTCCCTGGTTCAATCCCCAGCACCACCAAAAAGAAAAACAAACAAAAAACAGTCTTGTGGATAAAATGCCATTGTTATGCTAAAACAACACTAAGAATTTATACATAATTCAAAAAAGACTCACAGGAGGCATAGCTGGTAGAGTACCTTATTTTTTATTGAGTCACAGTGCACTTTGTGAATTCTGATGACAGGATCATACGTACTCTCCCTAGAAAAATGAATAATCTACACCCTAAAAATAATTTAACTGCAAAAGTTCACAAATTCCCTCAGATCTAAATTATGGCTTGCCTGAGGCAGTAAGACACATTCTTTGCCAAAGAATCATGGAAGCTGCTTGTGATCCATCAGACTGAAAGGTTCTATCCAAAACCTACTGAGCCGGGTGTGGTGGCATATGCCTGTAATCCCAGCACTCGGGAGGCTGAGGCAGGAGGATCACTGTGAGTTTGAGAACAGCCCAGGCTACATAGTGAGTTCCATGTCAGTCTCAACTACATAGTGAGAACCTGTCTCAAAAAATCAAAA